ATGGGCCTTGTATTCTTGCATGCTCTTCCCTCGCCGGACGGACCAGCCGCGTCACCACCGGACCCACGCATTTCTCACCTCTTGGACGAGTATAGAAACGTCTTCGAGGCTCCCATCGGAACGGTTCCGGATTGGCCCATACGTCACGGGATCACTCTCGAGGCTGGCGCCGTCCCTCCGCGCGGATGTATCTACCGCATGAGCAAAGAGGAACTCGAGGTGCTTCGCGCACAACTCGATGATCTTCTCAACAAGGGTTGGTTTCGCCCTAGTTGCTCGCTATATGATGCACCTGGTCTCTTTGTCCGGAAGAAGAACAAAGATCTACGGATATGCATCGACTATTGGAAACTTAACGCACAAACCGTAAAGAACGCCGGCCCTCTCCCTCGGATTGATGATCTCCTTGAGCGGTTAGGCGGCGCGACGTACTTCTCGAAGTTGGATTTGAAGTGAGGTTACCACCAGATTGAAATCCAGCCTCAAGATCGGTACAAGACCGCGTTCAAGACGCGGTACGGGCATTTTGAGTGGGTCGTCATGCCATTTGGACTCACCAATGCCCCCGCAACGTTTCAAGCAGCGATGACGAGGGAGTTTCGCGACTTGCTCGATCGCAGCGTCCTCATCTACCTTGGTTTATAGTAGGACGTTGGACGAGCACATCGTACACCTTCGCGTTGTTTTGAATTGTTTGCGACTAGCCAAGTACAAAGCGAATCTCGACAAGTGCGAATTCGCCAGGCAAGACCTGAGTACTTGGGCCATTTTGTCACGCCAAAAGGCATTCGTCCCTTAGCGGACAAGATCCAAGCCATCGTGGATTGGCCGGAACCCCGTTGCACGACGGATGTACGCTTCGACGGATGTACGCTCTTTCATGGGTTTGGGTGGATATTATCAGCGATTCGTCGAGTCATACTCGAAAGTGGCTGCTCCTTTGTCGAGACTTCAGTCCCCGAAGGTGCCCTTCGAGTTCGACGACGCAGCTCGTGGCGCGTTCAGTACGTTGAAGACAGCAATGCAAGTCGCACCTGCCCTCCGTATATACGACCCCACCCTACCCACCCAAGTGACTACGGACGCTTCGGGATACGGTATTGGGAGCGGTGTTGGAACAGTGTCACGAGGACGGTTGGCATCCGGTTGAGTATTTCTCCCAAAAGGTGCCTCTCGTCAACACTCTCGACGACGCTAGGAAGAAAGAGCTACTTGCGTTCGTCACCGTTCTCAAACGGTGGCGCCACTTTCTTCTCCGCCGTCGGCGGTTCAAATGGAATACGGACAACAATGAGTTGACCTTTTATAAAACACGGGACACGGTCACTAGCACGATCGGTCGATGGATGTATTACATCGACCAGTTCGATTTTGACCCGTGTCACATCCTCGGTCCGTCAATAGAGCTGCGGACGCCCTCTCACGACCTGACTTTTGTGCCATTGTGACCACGACTTTGGACCTCGATGACGATATGCAGCAGCATTTCGTCAAAGGCTACAAGTCCCATCCGACTTACTCTACACTTTACGCAGAGCTTTCATTGGATCACCCGCCGGCTAGCCACTATCGGATTTTCGACGGGCTCCTTCTCCTTCACACGACAGGAAAGGACTTGTTAGTTGTGCCCCAAGATGCATCTTACGGACTCGTCTTCTCGGCGAATTCCATGACGCACGACTTTCCGCACACCTTGGCGTGAACCGCACACTAGCACGCCTCCGYCAGCGTTTTCACTGGCCCGACGTCCTTCATGACGTGACGAGGTACATTGAGTCATGTGCAGTTTGCCACCGTAACAAGGGTCGATCTCGAGTCCCCTTCGGCGAACTGAAACCGTTGCCGATTCCTCGGGCACCACGCCTCTCCATTGCTATGGACGTGACAGGCCCGTTTCCCCGCGATTGCCACGACCATGACGGTATTCTCACGGTCGTTGACCGTTTGAGCAAGTATGCTCGCTTCCTTCCTTGCAAGTATCATGCTGCAGCACTTGAGCTCGCACGAGTCTTGCACACCGGTTGGATTACCAACCAGGGTGTTCCGGAAGACATAGTGAGTGACCGAGATACTCGCTTCATGTCGGCCTTTTGGACTTCTCTCATGACTGAGTCCGGCATGACAATGAAGCCGAGCTCGGCTCGGCACCCGTAGACGGATGGTCAAACGGAGCGAGCGCACCAGACCGCTCAGATGATGTTGCGTACGCTCATCCGTCCCGACCAGAAAGATTGGGTTGATCGGCCTCCCGACATTGAGTTCGCCTACAAGACTTCGGTGCACCCGGCGATCTGCGTCACACGATTCGAGCTACATCATGGTGGAGAGAAAGCACGGATCTTCTCTGATCTCCTTTTGCCATAGGCTGCCGACATAGACGTCCCTTGCTCTCCCGCTTCCGTCCGGAAGTACCGGGACTTGCTGATCAAAGCCCGCGCAAATATGCAAAAGGCTCAGATCCGCTTGCAGCAGCAGGCTAATCGACGTCGACTTCCATGTCCTTTCCGCGAGGGAGACCTTGTTTGGGTACTCTCCGAGGAATTTGCGCTCGAGCAGGATGTATCGCGCAAACTCCTTCCGAAATGGTTCGGACCATGGGAAGTCACTTCTGCCATTGGAGACAACCCCGCAGGTCCTTCCTTCGTGATTAACATTCCACCGCACCTGACAGTGCATTGGGCCTTCCACGCATCGAAGCTGGCCATCTACACGCCACCTTCAGTCGACGAGTGCCCTGGACGTCGATCACAGGATCCGCCTTCTATGGACGGACATCAGGAAGTTGACCGAGTCATCACGCACCGCAAGTATGGCAACAAGCCAAGGCTGTACAAAGTCACATTGCCTGATGACACTCGGTGGATCTCCAGTACAGATTTGCAGACTTCTGCACCCCTCATCTTCGCCGATTATGAGAAGAGACGCCTTGCTAAGGACGCCGTTCGTCCCGCCCGACCCACCCCAGAATCGGACAGACAACTTCGCCCTCGCAGGTAGCTCGGTCTTTTAAGAGGGGGAGTGTGTTACATCTTCGACGCACACGGGTCCTACCTGATCTGACTTAGGACCGGAGGGACACATCAAGGCCTAAAGGCCCGACCTTGGGATAGTACAGGCCCTCAGGGCCTGATCTTGGACCAGTACCCGACGGGCAGGCCCAAACGGCATTATCGTTTGGGCCTGGCGGCGCTCTTGAGGCTGCTGCCCGCCGGTTGGGGCTGAACCGTCCATCTGGACGGTTCAGGGAATGGCCAGGCCTCGCAGCATTGAGGCCGGCTTCTGCCCCACCGGTATGAAGTACCGGTACAGCCTCACTTGGAGGCATCAACCTACCGGCACTATACCGGTGCGGTATGGTCAGCGCCAGAGCGCTGTTTTAATGCGCTAAGTTTAGCGCAGGAGCGAGCAATGAGCAGCAGCGGCAGCGCAGCATTAGCGCAGCAGCAAGCGGAGCAGCAGCAGGGCGACTGAGCCAGCACGGCGGCCATTGCCGCCTGAGGTACCTGGGAGCCGGAGGACCTCTCCTCCCTCCCTCATCAGCTCTCTCTCTCTCGCTCTCCTCCTCCTCCTTCTTCTTCTTCTTCTTCTTCAGACTAGAGACTTATGCTAGTTGGACAGAGATCAGAGTTGGATTTCGGTGATATGAGACTGTGGTACTTACCAGATTGGAGACTTGGAGATCGTTGGGGTTGATACTTGTTGACATCACAGTTCAGACACCGGTTACATTTGGACTCTGTATCCCCGACATTGGTGACCTATGGTCCTCGACATTTTGATCTTGTCGGACGACATTTTGGACTACCATATCGGTGACCTATCAGATTCTACCTCGGTGACGTTCGGTGCTGTCTACCTCCCCCCACCTCTTCGTCTCTCCTCCCCCATTCATCTGTGTATGTGTGTACGGGGCTGAGCATCTTCTATGTATGGCTCAGACCCCACCATCTCACGATTGAATGTGTGTGGAGTGATGCTATGTGAGTCAGTCTATGTGAGTCAGTCCGTTTATCAGACTTCCGTTGCATCTATACTCATCCTACATTGGTTGATTCTTGGTTCTGCCCATACTCATTGGAGTATGCAACACACACACACACACACACACACACACACACACACACACACACACACACACACGCACACACACACACACACTCACTCGTGTATGCGTGCACTCTCTCGGAATGGCACTCGCTCTCTCTCACTCTGCGCTTGAGCACTTCCGCATCCCCTCCTACTCTCTTTCTTATACGTGCGTGCCCACTACTTTCTTGCACGATGGTTTGCTGGCTCCCTTCGTTGTATCTGCCTGTCTTCCCTTCTCACATTCTTTGAGCACTTCCGCATTCTTTCCTACTCTCTTTCTTATACATGCGTGCCCACTAGTTTCGTGCACGCTGGTTTGCTGGCTCCCTTTGTTGTGTTTGCCCGTCTTCCCTTCTCACACTCTCGTTCTCTCTCGTTCTTCATTATCTATCTCAATCACATTGTCTCACTCTGTCACTCTTCTTACCCCCTCTTACCCGGTTGCTCACTCACTCCCTTGCTTACCTATGCAAAAAAGTCTCGTCACTCCCACCAGGTTGGACAGTTTCCAGGTCGAAGTCGAAAGTACTCGGACGTGAACTGAGTCGGGTGCATACGGCTTGAAAGCATTGAAAGCCAGTTGATTGCCCGTGATTGGGTGCCTGATTGCATTCTTACTGATTTTGGAATATTTTAAAACTAATTAAATCAATAAATGATATTTTCAGGGAAATCTCAACCAATCAGCGGACCTCTTACTAATTTTGGAATATTTTAAAAATAAATAAATCAATAAATGACATTTTCAGGGAAACTTCAACCAATCAGCGGACTGGACACTTGAAAATCCACCAATTACCCGTCATTGGCCGCTTGAGTGTACTCCCTTATCACATAATTACTGATTCTTGAATACTTCAAAAATAAACGCTCTTTTCACAAGTTTTCAGGGAAAACTCAGCCAATCAGCAGAGGTAGAATGCAACCTTCACTGATTACCTGCCATCGGCCGCTTGACTGTACTTCCCCATTACAAAATTATTCATTCTGGAATATTTTGAAAATAAATAAATGAATGAATGTTTTTTTCAGGGAAATCTCAGGGGAGCGGTAGAATGCAGCCTTCTCACTCAGGGCGGTTTACTGGGAGAGTTGGGCTAACTATAGTCAGCACATTTGCTCAAACACGGCCAACTTCTTTGCTGTTGCTTGCCTGTCCGCCTTGCGTGGAGTCCGCTTGCGCTTCAGAACGTGCACAAGTGAGCACTAGCTCCGGTTTGAAGGCCGTGGGCTACAAAGGTCTGGCTCGCTGTTTCCCCGACAATGGAGGAATGATGACCAAATCACTTGTCCTTTGTCTCCCATAGCTCATGGAGAATTCTGTTGCAGGATTGATGTGAGATCTGTCGCTCACATGCATGAAAAGGCACATGCGAGCACTTACGCTGTGTATACCGGGTGTGCACTTGGGTACTACTGGTCTGTTTGCTGAATCTCCTTCCATAGCCCACCAGCAGTTCCCCTACAGGCTTGTCACTCTGACTGAGACAAACGTGTGCTGCGTACGCTGGCCACGCAGTTCCTAATACTGCCCTCCGTGGCATGGGCGACGATCCCCATGGTTGCTATCATGGTGGGTGGTGTACACCTTGGTCGCCACCATCTCCGCCATGCGTATCTCTTCCCTCTCGCATGTCCTATATAGGCGGTGCACACCTTGGTCATGGTGTTCACCTGCTCATTGTGATCGCCATCATTTGCCCAAGGCAAACTTCCTCACAAAGTGAAAACGTTGCTTGTATAGCTGCCAGCAGAACTGGCACTTGCATAGGCAGGCCAGACCGGGAATAGTTGTGTTGACCACTGGCCCAGTTCCAACTGCTGGCATGATGATACCAGCTGCTGGCCCAGACTACAGATCCAGGCCCGGTGAGCAGAAGTTTGGTCCAGTACCTAATGGTACCAACAACTGGTCCCATGGTGGTTTGTGTGGTGCAGATCCAGGGTCGGTACAGTTGTTGTTCTTATTTGTGGTACTGGTGTCATTGCCATCGAAAGTTGAAAGGGAAACAGCCCAGATCGTACGCTAAGGTCCTAAAGCAATCACTTAGTGGGAAAGGAAGTGATCGAGCAATTACAACCAGGAGGTGGGCTTTGAAGCAGCCATCCTTTGAAGATAGTGTAATAGCTCACTGGTCTAGCTTCATCGTGCCGAAAATGGATCGGGGCTCAAGTGGTTCACCGAAGCGACGGGACTCCAGGCACGCAGCAAGACATGCTGGACACGAAGTGGCACCTTGTGGCCAACTGCAAAGGTCTCTCGGAAATATGAGTTAAGTACCACCTCGGAGAAGTCCCATCTACATATGCCGCGACTAAGCTGTCAGTCCAGCGACTTGCTTGCCACTTCAAGCAGCATTCAATACAGACAGGCCCGCGCAGCTTTCGACTCACACCAATATAATAATTATGGGGTTTGGGCACGCAAAAAAAAACCAGGGTCGAAATAGAGCTAGAAAAATAGGTCGAATCGGGGTAACAGCTGAGAGAAATATAATAAGGCACAAAAACGAAGTACCAATGAAAACTGCAAAGATTTTGTTCCTTTTTATCATTGTTTAATTTATGTTTAACTTTTGTACAGCTGACAAAATTAGTAGATTTCTGTCATCGGCCCGGTCACACCAAACTGCCCACACGTGCGCCCACGATCGAGTTCCAGACGAAATGAAAGTAGGGGTAATCTAGGGCAATAACAGGCATCTCGGGAATTAAATAGGATTATGTAATTGTCTGCATGAAAGTAAGGTTAGTGTTAGTAGACGGAGAAGCAAAAAACAGGGATTGACCTGAGTGCCTTGTTTTTTTACCGCTCACTGGCATTCGCTAGCTGTAAAGCTCCAAACTCTAGCATCCGACCACGCTAAACTTGAAAATGTCCCACTTCGGGTGGCTATTGACTTTCGTCGCCTGTCACTGGGTCCCTTGATAGGAGTGGATTCCTTGAGTCCCTTGATGGTAGTGGAACTGCGCCATCCCTTCATAGTAGGGGCACTCTTCCCTGGGCCCCTTGATGGTATTGGAACTGTGCCCTGGGTCCCTTGAGATGGTATTGGAACTGTGCCCTGGGTCCCTTGAGAGTGGAACTGCACCTTGGGTGCCTCGATACTTAGTCTAGGAGAACTGCGCACTGTGCCCCTTGATACTACTGTTTTCACCCGAATACAATGTACAGCTAGGCTACCAGCCGGGCCGCCCGGGTCCCGGGTGGCCAGCCCGTGCAAGGACCAGGGAAGGTCCCACCGAAATAAATAAACTAAAAAAATCCGAAAAATCCGAAAAAAAACTGTGTTATGCAGAAAAATGAGTCTTGTCGTCTGACTTCCTAGAGTTTGCTGAGCAGGCAGCCTGTTTTGTTCTGCAGGACGGCGCTCACTCTTCCTTCTTCCTCTATCGAGATCAGGCGCGCAGCTGTTTTCCCACTCGCTCTATTCCAACCTCATCCTCTCTCTCATCTACTCTGGCAGTCATTATTGCTGTCTCTAGACTCAAAGTTGTCCCAAATACAACAATAATGACCGTACTATGTTGTATTCGGGTCAGTGGAACTGTGACCTGGGTCTCTTGGTACTAGTGGAACTGCACCCCAGGTCCCTTGATGCTAGTGGAACTGCACCCTGGGTCCCTTGATTCTAGTGGTACTGCGCCCTGGGTCCCTTGATTCTAGTGGAACTGTGCCCTGGGTCCGTTTATTCGAGTGGAACTGCGCCCTGGGTCCCTTGATTCTAGTGGGACTGTCCACACTTGTTCTCAGTGGCTGACATCATGATGGAAAGCTGAAGTCCTGAACTGCAGAAATTGTGGTAAGTCTGGCATAAGGCTTATTGCTAATATACCTCGGAAAGATTGTGAACCCTGTGGCCAACCACCTCGAGTATGCAGATCATGATCGTCTTGCAAATATACCCCTGAAAGAATGTGGACTCTTTGGCCAACTGCCACTTGTGTGCAGATCATGATTATCTTGCGAATATGCCCCTGCAAGAATGTTGACTCTTTGGCCAACAGCCTCTTGTATGCAGATCGTGATCATCTTCCGAATATACCCCGGAAAGATTGCGGACTTGAAACTGCCAGTTTGCTTGAAGCAGAGTACTGCTCTTGCCGGTGTAAGTGGCGCGAGTGTTCCGATTCAGGCCCGGGCCAGCAGTAAAAGTGGCAGGCCACTTCGGAAACATGCAGTTGCAGGCCGGTGAGCCTTGGAAGGTAGCTCCATCAACTCACGCTTGTATGATCTGGTGGTTTAAACCACGAGTACGTTTCCTAGCCATGGTTTAAACCACGAGTACGTTTCCCAGCCATTTTTCCATGGTAGTGGCGTGCATGCAGCTGCGACTCTCGGGAAGTATTGTGGCGCCGTTTCGCGCAACATTCATTTAGGTAAATGGCCTTGCAGGACACCCTATGAACTGGCGGTTTAAAGGACCAGTACGATTCCGAGCCATTTTCTCAGAGTCGCGGCGTGCATGCAGCCACGACTCTCGGGCAGTACCGCAGCGCCGTGTTGCTGGATATCCATCCCAGGCGAAGGGTCTTGCATGGCGCCCGTTCTGCCTGCCAGTGGATGGATATCCAGTGAAACGGCACCCTGGTACTTCTCGGTATGAATCGGCGGTTTAAATAACAGTACAATTCCCAGCCATTTTTTCAGAGCCGGGTTGTGCATGCCGCCGTGACTCTCGGGAAGTACTATGGCGCCGTGTCACTGGATATCCATCCAGGAAAACGGCCTTGCATGAGGCCTGTTTGGCCTGCCAGCGGATTGACATCTGGCGAAATGACACTCCGGCGCTTCCTGAGAATTGTGGTTGCATGCACGCTGCGACTCTGAGAAAATGGCCGGGAAACCTACTAGCCGTTCAAGGCCATCCCCTGTCGGATATCTGTGCTGGCTGCTTGCACAGGGGTAGCGATGCCATTAGTATTGAAGGGGTGTTATTTTGGTTTCTCCCTCAGCATATATGGAGTGAGACTGATACTGGGATCTGTGTATGATACTGTATATGCTATGATGCTAAGCTCGAGTGAGAAACAAATGGGCAATCACCAGGACAACCTCGTGGACCAAGAACCTCAGGAAGACTCCTCATAGCCCAGACCCATAAAACAACCATGGCTGAGACCCTTGGGTGGTGTGCTGGCAGTGTCTGTAATATCCATACCTACGTCAGCCCACGGTGATTTGCAGATGGCTGCTGTGCATTATGTAAACGCCCGCCGGTGCCCGTGCGCATGGATACGGAGTTTTGAGCCTGCAACCTCAGACCACAATGCACATTTCCAACCGCTGCCCTAACCACTGAGCTACATGCCATCCACCAGTCCCTGAAGCCCTAGTGTGAGGATTACTTAAGAACACATTGCTCCCCCTCCTCCCCAAAGGTATTGCGAGCAGTACAGAAATTCAACATGAATTGGTTGTACACATGCTTGGTGGCTAAACGTTTCGCATGTTTATTACACCAGTACCTTGTTTCGCATGTTTCATCCACCAGTACCTTGTTTCGCATGTTTCATCGACCACTACCTTTCCCCACTTGAAAAACAATTACACGGTGGCTCCCACGGGCAATTTTCAGGGGCGACCTGATGCAAGGTTCCACTCAACCGACTAAAGCGTAATTGGTCGTCTTTCTCTGTCTGAGCGATAGTAATCATGGAATATATGGTAGATGTGGATTTAGAGGGCAGCCTGAGGTCTTTTCACCAAAGCAGAAGAGGGTAGCACTTTGGAAGATGTATTGCAAACCTGACCTCATCATGGCCAGACCTTGATGAATCTAACGGTGATCATGTAGAACTGAGTAGGAAAGTTATCGTGCGAGTATGCCCTCATTCTTTTGTTTACCTTTGCTTTGCACACAGCATTGCGCAGAGCGTCTTTTTTTTCTTTTCTCTTTTTGGTATGAAACACTTTGATCTATTCGTGGGGAGCAGCAGGGGCTGGGAACTGGGCTCAGCGTCCCATTTGGAGATGTATCCTCTGCTAGGAACCTCAAGCAGCCTTGATTGTAATTTCCCTAATTGTCGAGTCTGACTGACGTCCGCACTAAGTCTTCTCCATTGTGGAAATCCTGTTCCACTATGGGCCTGGTTAGACCCTCCCAAGGAATTAGGATGAAGTCCTTGGAAAACTTTTCGGTTTTCGGCATCATTGTTACACTGTGTCCTAATTCGATGGGTCCCAAGGAAAACCCTTGGGAGGTCTCCGGCGGTTGATGTCATACGCATACACGCAGCTGTGGGGGTGGATGTCCGTCATTGTGCTGGGATGTCCATGCGTCCTCGAGCACGTGGTCTAGTGGCGGCGGTGGGGAGGCCTACTGGGCTGAAGGAAAAAAAAGGGTGCCAACATCAGGGTTGAAATTTTGAATTTTGAACCCTTCGTTGTGAGGCATCCATGCTCAAACCGTCCTGGCCGCTGGACTGGAGACTTCATCCAAACATTTGTGCTGTGGAGTGGTGGCGGCCATGGCTTAAAAGGCGCGATGTAGCGTGTATGCGTAACGGTTCTCTACCGTGACATTGCCTTCGTGTTTCGCATGCTCTTCGGGCCGTCCCACCTGAGCGCGAACGTAACACTTCTGTAAAACGTGAAGAGTGCAAGCTCAGTCCCCATCGGGGTGCAAGAGGTGCAGTGAGGGCGCCGACGGGCAAATGAGTGGTGGGCGCTTGCACATTGCAACATTGCAAGTCCTGACGATGGAGGGAGAGCTCCCAGGTGGTGCAAAGGCATTTATGACGTTGGAGAGAAACATCGTGGTCGCAGCTGTGTCAACCATTGCCATGCGTTATCGCATTGAGAGAACAACAGTGCTCGAGGATGAGATTGTCCGTTCGCAGGCAGAGGCAGCTGATGCAACCAGTGATGGATGCACCCGATTGTGTGTCGCTTCTGGAATCCATTGTGCAATTCTGCCGCGCCATGGCATCGGGTGTGATCCCGTGGGCGACGCCGAGATGGTGGATGAGGAGGACGGGAGGGACATGGGAGGATCTCCACAGGTTGATGACGCGGTGGAGGGCCACTACAAGGAGAAGCTGCGGAGTGGAGTAGTCAATGGCGTGCGCCTGCTGTTTGCTGGAGGTTTCCCGCCTGTCCATGGCCGTTTTCCTCACCATTCCTCGTTTCTGTCTGCTGCCAGTATCCTGCACAATGACGCATGCGTGAAACAACACGACGAGGAGCAGGAGAAGAGTGGCCAGCAGGGGGAACCACTAGAGGATGTCTACCATGAATTGCAGCAGGCGAGGTGTGTATCAAACAAAGCTTGCATCAATGCGCTCGACAGTAGCCGACAAAACACACTAGGCAGGTGACTGCAATTGGTCGGCAGTGCTTCAACATCGTTTGTAGAAAGATAAAAAAATTGACCACTGGACATCACAGCCGACGACGCGCACACGGAAAACCCCACTTCGTGAAGCATCTTGCAGCTGAAAAACCACCCCCCCACATTTCTGCGCCAACGGTAACGGTGGAAGGCCGTTGTGGGGCCGTCCGGAACTGGAGGCCGGCAATGTTCGCCCAATGGACCACAAACGACCTGTGCACCAATTTCGACTCCAAATTCTCCTGTCGGCGCTCACTCCAGAACACTCCATAAATCGTGGCTCCTCTAATCCAAGAGTCGTCGCGAGGACCCCTTGTATCCAAGGATGTTTTGGCTGGAGTTTCCGAGGAACCCAAGGAAATATCTTGGTAGTGTTCTCACATTCATTCAAGGAATTTGGTGAATTAGGATGTGGTGTAACGACACCGGTTTTGGAAAAATCGGATTTCCAAGGAGGGTCTATCGATGCTCTATTTACTTAATTTCCCATGGTTGAAATCCCGTCCTTCATGAATCATGGGTGCCTAGGATTATGGTAATATCCTGTCCCATCGCTAACAAAAGGGAGACTTCCCTGAACAAGAAGGAAAAAAAACTCTCTGCTATCAAGGTGCGAGGTCCCACTAGTGAAGAGAATTGGATTAAGCTCTGGAATCTGGACATGTTTTACGCAGAGCCCCAGAAAAGCAGTTCTCATTCTCGATTCTCTGCACGTTTTTGCAAATGCGTCCAGATGCAGGCATTCAATTTAATCCTCTTTGCTGGTGGGACCTCGCCCAAGGAGTGTTAAATGAAGTGTTTGCGGAGTTGGCTGTTCAGACAGGGACACAATTTGAGAAAGACAGAATGCTGGTCCACGTGGGTGTTGAGTCTGGTGTGCATAGAGTCGGACACTTCGGCCACTTCAGTCTTGCAGGGGTGGGTTGGATAGTATGGTTCCACTTTTGAACACCGTGTCCTGGCTGTAGTGGTTAAGACACTTGGCTCTTGAGGCCGAGGTCGCCGGTTTGAATCTGTGCTTGAAATTACTTCTTCTGTTTTTTCTTTTTTTTTCTTTTACACACACCAAAGGAGAGGCCGGGGAACCTCAACAAACAACCCAGAAAAGGAATGCCTTAGGAAACAAAAGAGTACAGGGACCATTACCCAGATTAGGTGCAGGCGCTGGGATGTCTTATCCAGAGACAGAAATGGCCAGCAACAGACCACTGTCCTGACGACTCCCAACCCTGGAAATTAAACTCCCAACAGGCCAGAAAAGCCTCGCAAACCATACACTTTTTTTTTTGAAACCCCTCTTGAGACAAGGGTATCTCTATTTTTTTTTTTTTTTTTTGAAGGGTGTAGAGCCCAGTAGACCCTAACATTAGCTCCAGTCAGGATTGGAACTGCTGACCGTTTACTGCGATGCAGCCAGTGAACATGGGCCGGGTACAGACAAATCTCTGTCAGATGGTGTACTAGGGAATAGATCCTCAGGGGCGTTCTGGAGGAGTTGGCAGGGGCGCACTTGCACTTTCCCAAAATGTGGAAAATAACATTGCTTTTTACTCATTTAGGGCCTCGTTAGACACCTGGGCCGCTTAGTCTAGAGATTCGCTGTTTTTCTAGGAAGCTTTGTCCCACGTTGTCCTAATGAAGACGATTTGGAACTTCCTAATGAAGACGATTTAGAACTTCTATGGTCCACTAGATAGTTGCTGATTTTCTAGGAAATGATTCCACATTTTGCATCTCGAGGGTCCGGCCTAACGTCTCAAGTGCGCCTCCAGATGGGTATGCGAACTGATGAAACAATGCTAAGCCGCTGAATATCTGTAGGCCGCCTCGGGAGGTCACTAGAGAAGTTAGGGCTGGACCCTAAAAAATGCATAAAACACGGAATCCGATTCCCTTTCCCCCCCTTCCAAGTAATTTTCCACGAACCACAACTGTTCCTTGCACCCTGTCAGAGTCTCTAGGGTGCCCATCTCAAGGGTTTCGTCTAGGGGCTGTGGAACGATAAAATGGGTTAGGTTCTTAGGGGAAATTAATCACTTTTCCTGAGTTAGGGCGCCCTAGAGTCTCCAGTATTTCCAAGTGGTGCCGAACGAGGCCATTTGCTCCGTCAGGATTCGAACTTGCGACCATTGACTACGATTTTTGTGCGTTATATGCAGCCAGAGAACATGGGCCAGGTACAGATGAACTTGTGTCAGATGGTCTAGGGGATCAATTCTCAGTGGACTCCCAAATGGAGGAGCTCACAGGGCACAGTGGGCACTTTCCTAATATGTAAAAAAGTATGGCCTCTCCCCACTACTCACCAACTAAGCAGAATGACAATGAATCTTTTGTTAGAACATGGAAAGATGGAAAGATACACGGCCACATTTTTTGTTTTGTCTTTTGTGCACCTGGTGAGTAGTGGAGCCAGGCCCGTTGTTGTGGTACTTATTTAATTCCATCAGGATTCCAACTTGTGGCCAGCGAACATGGGCCGGGTACGGACGCGACGAATCTCTGTCAGATGGTTTAGGGCATTGATCCTTGGTGGCTGTCTGGAGGAGCTCATATTTAGGGCCTCGCAGACTACTCTTGACATGCACAAAAGACAAAAATATTGGCGGCGTATCTTTCCATATTCTAGCACAAGATTCACCCTCGTTTTGCACTTTTCGAGAGTAGTGCAGCGAGGCTCTTAATTCCAGGAATCTCTGTCAGATGGTTTAGGGCATTGATCCTCGGTGGCTGTCTGGAGGAGCTCAGATTTAGTTCCATCAGGATTCGAATTCATTCGATGCAGCCATAATATGGGTCGGGTACGGACAAATCTCCGTGGCTGTCTGGAGGAGCTCAGATTTAATTCCATCAGGATTCGAACTCATTACATGCAGCCATATTATGGGCCGGGTACGGACAAATCTCTGTCAGATGGTCGAGGACATCAATCCTCAGCGGCTGTCTGGAGGAGCTCGTAGGGAGGACTAGCTTTTTTTTTTTTTTTTTTTGAGACATTTTCCGAAGTGTAGAAAAGAACACGATTAGAAAGAAGAAAAGATGTCCTTCGCGGCATCTGTTAAAATTGGAACGATACAGAGAAGATTCGCATGGCGCCTCTGTGAGGATGACATGCATAAGTCGAGAAATGGTCCAAAAAAAAAAACAAAAAAAAAGAAAACGAAAGAAGAAAAGATGCAGTCCTGTTGTTGAAACCACTAAAAGAATAAAAGGAAAGAGAAAATAAAAAAAAAGACGAAAAGGGGGAATAAAGGGAAAAAAAAAAGACTGGTAGGAAAGACGCGTAGCATATTCGTGCCCTGGCGGGTGCCAGCCGGGAATGGAACGAGAATATACCCCCCCTTAGGGCCCCTCAGAGCGTCCTCACACTCGGCCCTCAAAATTGCAGAATCACTAAATTAGCGCACAGTTGAGTCCCTTCAACACAGGCAGAGCGTAACCATCTGGGCTGTGTCTCGGGGGCTAGGTCCCACTTGCACGAATTAAGAGATAATGACCGTAGATAGCAACGATCAATGGCCGAAGTCTCCTAATCCGTGCAAGTGGGACCTTGCCCCGGGGAGAGACTCAGTGAAACAGGTATGTGTGTGAGGATGTGGACTATCTGCACCGTGGCAGAAATATGCTTTTAGGAGGATCTGATGATCTGGCTGGTGATTTTTCGATTGTGTTATGTGAGGGCTGAGTGCGAGTATGCCCTTGCTTCATGACCTTGGTTCGTCCTTTTGGGAATCGCTGGCTGATGGATGATGAAGAAAAGGCTACTGTCGGCACGCGAATAAAACACTTCAGTCATTATTGCCGCATGCAAACAGAAAGATGTTTGTATCTTTTTTGTTTTTTGTTTGGGACAATTTGTGAAATACCCCTATAAGTGGACATATATGCCAAGATGCCCCTAAAAGATGTGAGTAGAGCGGAATACCCCTCTGATGCAAAAAATGCTCTGCGAAATGCCCCTGGCATCGGTTGGACCTGCCCTCTTTGCAAAATACCCCTACCAGGTACTGTCCATCTTTGCAAAATGTCCCGGTACTTGCCAACTTTTCCCAGACCATATTTTATTTTCGTTTTACCCCTGTCAACCCCTGTCGTCTTTGCATTTTGCCCCCTGGTTTTGAGGCTGACAACGGCCTTTTCCAGGCCCTTGAAGAGAACGCACCACCATTATGGCCTTCATCTTTTGGAGCAACTTTCTGTCTAGATACACCCATAATGGACGTCCATTCTATTGGGGGGCGGGGCTGTCATTTAAGCATGTGTGTGTGTGTGTGTGTGTGTGTGTGTGTGTGTGTGAGAGAGAGAGAGAGAGAGAGAGAGAATTGGAGGAATGGTGGGAAGAGTTGGAGATGAGCAAGCTTACCAGGGCGAAGTTGCCGAGCGGGAGGCACGGGCAGAGACTTCGAATGACTTCGAAAGTTGGAGGCAAACTGCCGCGCCTATGGGCCAGGCCCTGGGTATTGTGCAAAGTTGCCCACCTGGTATGGAGGGCAAACCAGCTAAAACAGGGTGCAGGCCCAGGCCTCAACGACGGCGTTCAGATTGCAAATTTGCACACAGGCCTGACAGGAACAAAACACAAAGAATTATGCCCAAAAGAGCATTCCGTTCTACCCACATCTTTTAGGGGCATTTTGGCATATATCGTATTAGGCAAATTATCCCAAGAGCATTCCTCTCTACCCACATCTTTTAGGGGCATTTTGGCATATATCTGAACTTATAGGTGTATTTGGCAAATTATCCCTCTCCCTGGCCTTCCTGTGTTTCTATATCCCACAGAGGCTCCCACCATCTGACATATATTGCTTAATGTGCATACATAGGCAGCTGGAGATATCATCACATCATAGGGACGCTGGACCTGATTTCGACGCCGGGACCTACTTACCGGGGATGCTCTTATCACCTCGTTAAGT